TGAGTGTTCTACTTGGAGGGAATCATAATTAAGGTTATTAAGGTCTTTGGGTTCCTGTGTGTTTTAAGAAAATTAGGATTTTATGTCTTTAAAGAGACAGTACCACTTCCGTTCACAACTGTTGCCTTGCCACGCACAGTCCGTCCATGTGGATCAAACTACATTTGCCCTGCTTTGTTCTTTCAGGGAAATCACAGATTTATGTGAATCTTTATTTTTCCTGTTTTGTTTTCAATTAGTTCTGCATTTGAAATGCCAGACGACTTAAGTCTGGAACTCAGAAATGGAGAGAAATGATCTCTGTACTTTGTTATCAACATTATTTTTGAAATATAATTACGCCTGAATTTCGCTGAATTATTTTGACATTATCACTAACAACTTTTTTTTTTTCTTTTGAACAAGATAACTGGTTTTGTGAACCAAAATGCTACCATAAAAATGATGACAACAGCAACAGTTTATTTCATGGCCTTGCAGTAACATTATTGACATAATTACAAGGTATTTCCCCCACATTTATGTAAAAGGCAGAACTTTTCTAGAAATGTCCTCGCTCAGTGGTGCAGTCTCTTTATTTTCATTTTTTAAATACTTAAATTTGGTTTCTATCCCAAGGGCCTCATTCTTGGTGGAAAATCAATTCCAGCAAATTGTATCAATTAAATGTCTTCCCATGCCCTTCTCTCCCCCCACCCCAGCTTCTACATCAAACATTGCATCATGTTTGAGGAGAAAATGTCTTAAAGGGCCAGTGGCCTGTGAAGCTGCTCTGTCCGGTGGAGGGCTGTCATTGCTCATCTGTTCACTTCCTTACCTAGTATACATCATTGCATGGTATGACATGTGTCAAAAGGGGCTTTGCTCCCTAGTGCTGACCCTGAATTTCTGCCCTGGGTATGTGGTTGTCCCTTGTTATAGTAGGAAATTACCAATACGGAGCCAAGTAGAAATATAAGGGTATTTAATAGGGAAAAGCCTTACTTACAGAGCGACCTAGCCAGCCGACATGGCAGCAGTCTATACACAAGTCATAAAGGGAAAACAAAACTAAAACAAAGCCCTGACCCTCTCACTCTGTCACCCTGACCACACCCG